GCTCAAAGTTATACTTAGATATTATGTATTTGTTCTGCAGATTATTTCATCATATAGATGGGAAAAGCCCTGGACCTCTTTAAGATTTAAAGGAGAATATAAAAATTGCTTTCAAATATCTCATTCAATGATCTCCCCAAAATCACAAAGTAGATTAGTAAGAGATTCACGACCATATCCTAATCTTTCGACCCCAAATACTGTGCTATGATGAGAAGCTCTTGTTAAGTGTGTGGGTAAGCTTTTAGTCACACCAGTTCAATTCAGTGCTGTACAAGAACACACAGGGGAGATAGTTTCATGGATCAGTGGGATGATGAAGAAAGAACATGGTTTATAATGTTTGTACCATGTAAACATGAACCTGATGTGGCAAAGGGAAGCAAAGTTATTTAGTACCAATTATGAACCAAGTGTAGTTTTATTTATACGGTATGTTATTTATATAATATATTAAGTCACTCTTATACCTTTTATCTTTACAAAAAACCCAGTTGACTTATGAAGTTTTTAAGGATCTAAGACATTGTCACTTAACCCAAGCCATACAACTAATAAATTTGGTAAAGCGAGGGTTGAACTCTGGGGTGGCTGGCCCCAACGTTCTCTACATTGTGGCAATATAGCACAGAAATGGTATTTCTGCTTTATTGAATCAGAACAAGTGTCCTGCTTTTATTTTAGAATTATGGACCTAAATCTTCCTCTTTGCTCCCCTAATAGCCAGCTTTAATCCATGCTTCTCATCTTCAGGAGGCACTATCACGACCTTCTCTGGGGTGGCAAATATGGTTTTAGAGCTGGTAGTAACAGTTTAAATACTTTTCCATATTCAAGAATAATCGTCTAACTGAAGAATTTTTTAAAAGCTCCTACATTTTAGGCAGAGCTGAGGGCCCCTTCTGGCTACTCCCAGACTCCCCACATGGCTTCCCCACAGCCCCTGTCATGCTGTTACCTGCAGGGGATGTGGGGGCAGTAGAAAGGACACCAGGACACCTGGAAGCTGAGAAATGGACTCAGTGACCTTTAAGGATGTGGCTGTGAACTTTACTCCAGAGGAGTAGGCTTTGCTAGATCCTTCCCAGAAGAATCTCTACAGAGATGTGATGCTAGAAAGCTTCAGGAACCTGGCTTCTATAGGAAAAGAATGGGAAGACCAGAACACTGAAGATCAGTACAAAAATCCCAGGACAGGGCCGGCCCGGTGGCGCACTGCTATAGTGTGGCGCTCCCGCCGAGGGTTCGGATCCCACATACTGACCAGTTCCCGCTCACTGGCTGAGCGGGGTGTGGGCGCGGCACCGAGGGTTGCAATCCCGTTGCCAGTCCCGGTCCGGTACGGGCGTGACACTGAGGGTTGGGGGTGTGGGCGTGGCACCGAGGGTTGCAATCCCGTTGCCAGTCCCGGTCCAGTACGGGCGTGACACTGAGGGTTGCGATCCGTTGCCGGACACGAAA